ATTTCTTTATGGAACTAACAAGAATGCTTTTTATTGATTTGCCAGCGCTATTAAAAGGCTAAGTATAAGTAAGTATGAATTCTGATTTCTGTTAGTGATTCAAGCATAATGCATCTGTATGAATTTATTTCCGTTTATGGTATGACATTTATGTATGGTTTGGTCCGTAAGACCTGCTAATTATTGGTATGGAACAAAGTGCTACTTGGAACTAAGTGATACATTGTGAGCCACCGCTAGAGTCCATGTGAGACACCTCTTGAGTCCATACATATGTGAAAATTATGTGGCTGAAAGCCATTCTGTGAAAGTTATGAGGCCCATGGCCATCTGTATGAGTTGTTATGAAATGAAACAAAGTGCTACACGGAACTAAGTGCTACGATGTGAGTCACCTCTAGAATCTGTGTGAGACACCTCTTGAGTTCATATATCTATATGTCCAAGGGCTTAATGCCATTCTGATAAGGGTTGTAATGCCAATCTGAAAAGGGCTTATGCCATCCTAATATGAAACAAAGTGCTACACGGAACTAAGTGCTACGATGTGAGTTACCTCTAGAATCCGTGTGAGACACCTCTTGAGTTCATATATTTATATGTTCAAGGGCTGTAATGCCATTCTGACAAGGGCTTTATGCCATATATACAAGGGCTATATGCCACCATGTTTAAGAGCTTCATGCCATATGTTCAAGGGCTATATGCCATCATGTTTAAAAGTTTAATGTTAATGTGTTCAAGGGTTTTAAGCCACTATGACTCACGATTGGGCCTAAGGCCATTTTGAAATGAAAACAAGAACAGATTAATTACGTGATTTGTGTTATTTGTAGGTAAACAACCAAGTGGTTAATCCTGAGCCATCCAAGTGGTTAATCCTGAGCCATGATGCTCGTTCATTTTGTCAACCTTTGAGTGCCCAGACTCTAGATGAAGCCACTCATATTTTTGTGAAGTCTTGACGAACTTTTGGCGCTATGCTTTACTTATTGGCCTAAGGTTGAAATGTGTATAATACTTTATTCCGAAATGTTTTTGATGTATGCCCAATTATAGAGCTGGACTTGTATATATGTGCGTATATAACCGATATTCAGGTGTATGTTTTAGATTTTATTTGTCTGTTTAAGGTTTGTGATCCTGGCATGATAGTAATAGCTCAATGGAGTTTGTTTCTATTGTCAAACTTTGATATTTAATGCTTCCGTTCAGGCCCCATATATATAGATATAAAACAAGTTAAGTGTCCGTTTCTGAAGTGGTCATGCCCAAACTTCTAGGGGCGGGGTTGGGGTGTGACAGGTTATATATTTTTATCATCTCTTTTGAGGTCCTCGGTTGGCGCTATACAGTATGTAACAATTGTAGGCATCCTGGGTAAGTTCTACAAAGCAGTAAAAGATGGGGCATACCAAATAATTCAAGTTCAATTCTTGCGGTTGAGGGGATGAATCTCTTTAGAGAATTTCTAGATTACTAACATCTAACCTTATAATCATTTGTCATTAACTTGAATATCATGCTTCATTACTTGTTTGTTATAGTTGTGCTTGTGTATTGGATTGAGAAAAATTGATGGGGCATGTATGCGTTTACTGGGCATTCAAAGCTTATGGTGTTTCATGTTAAGTATTGACGAAATTTACACGGAAGACCGCGAAGCAGAAACATTTGAAGACATATGACAATCCTAGAAGAATTAGGAATTAGTAATCATGTTTTAGGATTGTAAGTATTAAAACTCTTGTTGTAATTAAGATATAATCTTGTAACTATTACTTTGCCTAAATATCTACATATATCTTTTGTGAACTTATCCTTATCTTTTCGTCAACTTATGTAGACCTTGTGTTAATACCTTGTTAAGATCTGTTGAAAATGTAGCTTTGCTATCTAAGGAGATTGGACTTTGAAAGGAGGTTATATTGACTCTTCCAATATTTCTTGGGATCTTACTTGGTTATTGACCAAATGACTAATTAGTGATATTTCCTAGACTTGTAACCTTAGAATAATCCTATATTTATTTGTTAATATATTCCCTGATGCTATCAATTTTTAGGGCGTCACATTTCCTTAGTTCTAAAATGATGCAATGCAATTAACAATTAATCACTAATTTCATAAAATAGAAATTTTCAAGTCATGCTAACTTAATTCCCCAACAAAGTCGCCAACTGTGGGTGTCGTGCCTTTTTCAAGTCTAAGGCATGCATCCCACACCAACTTGCTTTATTGACATAGAGTCGCCAATTAATTTTTAAAGGGAAATTAAGAAACCTTTAATGATGAAAATTGAGTTAAGGCCTAGTCCATCATAACCATGAACATTCCAGGTTCAGGAGCTTAGGAACAAAAGGGGAAAGCCATTTACATGGAAGCACCCCCTTTTGACCAATCTGAAGATTGGCCTCTACTCACTCTCTATTTTTTGATTTTAGTGGTTAATCATTCATACAATTAATTTTAGACCTAAAACCTTTAACTAACCTAAAACTAGATGATTTGAATAAAATAGGCATCATTTATTTTAGATTGAATGAATAAGGCCATATATTTCATAAAAAGTGATTTTCGTTAAAAATGGATTTTTGACAATCCATGGTCATAAACATAAACTAAAAACAGTAATACTCATAAAAATCAAACAAAAAAAAGCTATTTTGCATACAAAAAGCGTATAGACTTAAATTATTGAAGAACAATGCAACAAGGACACCCACATGCTATGGAGATTAAGAGAACTTACCCGATCACCCACTTTCGTGTCTTACATGCAATAAATGAATTAAATATGGCCTAAATGCAGCTGGCACATTTGAGGATACTAAATGATGCTTATGCATAAAAAGGCAAATAACAAGTAAAAAGCGAATATAATGATCAAACCGGGCCATGCATGCTTACTATATGACTAAAATAAGCCTAAAAATGTTGTTCTAACAATATAGAAAGAAACATGCGAAATAAAACAAAAAAGTAGACAAAATGAATAAACTATTATAAACCTAGCATGGATTGACTACTGAAAATAAGCAAAGAACTACTCAAATATAAAGAGTATGAGAGTTTACCTTCTACTTTTTACGAATCGAAGAGAACGAGAAGAAAATCGAAAAAAACTCAAGTTTCTTGCTTGCAAGCCTCCCTCAAGCTTAGGTTTTTGATTGTGTTTGAGTTCTCCAAGCCTTAGAGTAATTTTCAATGTTTAGAGTTGCTGTGGGTGGGGTATTTTCGGAGCTAGGGTCAGAGAGGGAGTGAAGAAGGGTGCTTGGTTCTTAAACTTTCAAAAAAGCTTTCAATTTCTTAGCCCCTTCAAAGAGACGGGGAGGGGCTCTATTTATAGAGTTGGGGGAAGCCTCTGGAACCCTTCTAAGGTTTCATCACTTCTTCCTCTGGCGTTCCCACCAAAATTGAGTTACCAAAAATAGTTATGCGATACCTCAATGTGCGCACATACAAACCCAATGCGCAGGCGCAACGATCGTGTGCACTCATATCTAACGTGCACGTTTGCATTTTACCTTGGTACATGTGCCATGCATATATGCACAAGCACAAATATGTGGCCCAATGCTCTTGGCTTACTTGTGGTACAAGTGAGCCCGAATTGCATTTTGATTAATGTTTTTGATAAAACATGTCATTAACTTTGGAAAATATGATCAATCAAAACACAATCAAGCTTTCTGGGGTTAAGAAGTTGGTTTTTGGCTAAAAACGGGTCTAGGGTCATTTTTGCAAAAGAATGATTTTTGGCCAAAATGGGTTTGTACAGCAACTCTAAACAACTTTAAACATTCTAAGGATGAAATAAGTACCATTTCATCATTGGAAGGCTTGCAAGTACCCAAAATCTTAGGGTTAGTCAAAATGGGATGTCTACACATGGTAAAACGATGGGTATTAATCGTGTGCCGTTTTCCATGTCTCGACCAAATTTCAAGCTATTCTAGTACCCTTGCCCTTACCCCAGTTTGTCCATGAGTTCTAAGAACTCTAGGCCAAACACTCTACATCACTTATCCATGAATTAAATGTGACCAAAGTAAATGATAGCATCCAGGGTAGAATTCTATTTGGTTTTGGGCCACTTGCCTGCCAAAAAACTATGCTGAATCTGCATTTAACAGCTTTTTTAGGGTCCAGACTGTACTAAAGTTCAGAAAGTGTAAAATTTTTGTTATGAATATAATGGTTTAAATGGCTGTTGAGAATGGTGTCCTTAATTCTCTTTTTCCCTCCTGAAGGTATGAGAAGGAACAACAAACACAAGTACTAATGTACTACTAATTACTGACAGTTGGGGAAAAGATGATATAATATGAAGATGGGTAGCCCTTGAGGAGATTAAAGACCAGTTTGGATTATTTATTGGAAGAAATTGGTGTTTATTTTAATCAAAAGCACAAAAAATTGTTTGCCAAAGTTCAATTGCTTACAATCAAGTAAAAATTTGGGCTAATTGAACTCAAGATACTTCTCTGCTCTTCGGTTAGGTGGAGGCCATTCAAACACAATGAGCAAGTCCCGAACTTGTCCTAAAAAAAATCACCTCAAAATTCAAATAAAAGAGGCAATTTCATATGCCGGTTCCCAATTTTTTTGAGTACTTTTGAACCAACTTTTGACAAACACATTTCAAAATGTTGAAGGCAAGAACACCAAGTCTAGAATCATTTTTATCATTCTCTGTACCAATGTCTATCTCATATACTTCTAACCATTTATTTTGGTGACATGACAAATATGTGGTGGATACGAAATAGAAGATCACACAAAGCGGAAACTAATTATCTGTGCTCAGGACACCAACCAGTTATGTTCTCATGACCTTACCTAAATTGCCTTACATATATATATATATATATATATTTTAGAGTGCAAAAAAGATAAAAATAAATAATAACAACAACAAAATAAAGAAAAAAAGACAAGCCAAATGAACAAAACAAAGCCAAAATTAGAAAAACATTTCTACCATAAATAATAAAAAATACATTAAAACGATACTTTAAAAAATTGCATTTTCATCTTCACCCAGAATTGTTTTTAAAAAAATGCATAATATTCTATTTCTTTTTTGATGAATCACTAAATGGAACTAATTTTGGCTCAATCTATACTCTCCTACCTACAAGCATGAAGAACAACATTTGGGAAGTGAGCAAACAAAATAGAAAAAGGAGCAACAGTTATGGGCTCCGATGAATTTACATATTGAGGCTCCAATGGGGGTATATGCCCTGACGAATTTACAGTTAAAACATTCCCATTAAGCAACATAACCTGGCTGTGTAAATTCCCGTCCTTTGCTGTCAAATGGTACTCCTCTCTTGTCATTCTGCTTTTCTTTTTTCCTTGAAGTAGTTGAATAGGCTTTGTTTTGTGACTGTGAGACTTGTGTTTGTGTCGCAGTGTCCGAGTTCTATTCAAAGCTAGCTTAGTCTCGACAGTGGTGGAGTTGTCTAGGTTGATCATTAGCAATGTAATTCCTTGCTGCAACGAAAAGATTACAAAAATGCCAGAGATCCTAAAAATTTTACCAAAAATTCTACCAAATGTCTCACAGGGGTGTGGGATCCACATGGCACTTACATTGTGTGGTCCCACACCCATTTGAGACATTTGGTAGAATTTGTGGTAGAATTTTTGGGTCTCTAGCATTACGCAAAAGATTATGATCAGATTATAACATGACAGTATTTTGATTGTATAATAAATGAATATGGTTTAGATTTGAACTTACAGAATGCTTTGCACAATGAGCATATGAGCGTATCTTCTTTGTCCCTGAAAAGCTTGTCGATAGAGCTTTTCTTCCCATTAATCGGTGCCACAGAAGTGCACTGTAAGCAGGAAAGCAGAATATCAAACCGTGAATTTTTTTTCCCCATTTTTTCTAACTGTGAATTTTCATGTTTCAAGATTTTCATTCTCATTTCTTACAAATAGTAGTACATAATTGTGTTGGGCTATTCTCATTTCTTACAAATAGTAGTACATAATTGTGTTGGGCTAAAGAAGCAATTTGAAGAAAAATGCAAGACATGATAGTGGGAGACAGATGCAAAATATATAATTTTATATATTTATTATTTTTTTATATATAATATGTCCTTCAGATAATATAAGATCGTAACATAACAATAAATTCTAAAGGAGGAAAAATTATTAAGTATAAATCTACATTGTTTTTGTTTTTCTTTTATCATTGGATCTAAGTTAACTCATTGAACCTATAATTTGTTTATGTGTCTATAAACATGTATGGGTCTAAATAAATAAAACTAACAAACAGGACATATTTAGACATGTGTCCCACACATATTGAGTAGAGTTTGACATGTGTCTGACACAAACACAACACCTTTGCAGGAGTGTTTGTGCTTGTTAGAAGTAGGGCTTATGTAATGTAAGAACTTCAAGAATTCAATAACCTGTAATAGCAGAAGGGGAGGTAAGGACATGTTTGAATGCGTGTCTAACACATGTCGGGAAGTGTTTGACATGTGTCTGACACAGATATAACACCGTCTTAGAAATGTCTGTGGCTTTTAGGTGTTGGGCCTAGGTAATGTTAGAACTTCAAAAATTCAATAACCTGTAATAGTCTGGATTTGGCACGAAGGTAGTAGTATTGAGTAGACCATAGTTTCCTCCGATCAAAGACTGTCTGCAGTATGTTTTTGTGTCAAAAGCAGATGCCATTCCAAGTTGATCCAAATACCTATTTGTTAGGTCCAAAACATCATTCAATGAGAAACACAACCAAAGAAAACTACACAATTTCATCACAAGGCATAGCTACATTACCAGAAACTAAACACAAAGGCATTGGTGACAAGATTGCGGCCACTGTTGTAAGCCCCTCCTGCCTCACCTACCCACGCAATTGGCGAGTTTGGAGAATTCTTGAGGGTTCTTTGGAGCCTGCTAAATGTATCTGCCTCGCCGTCAAGATAGTCTGGATCTAGAATCTTTTTAACCAAGTGTTCATCCACTCCTATGAACGAAAAAAGATCAAGTCTCCATAAAAACCTCTTTTTGAATTTTTCAGAACTCAAAATGGTTTATATTTATTTTGTATAACTAAAATACCTGGACCAAGATTATATATGTGATGACTGATGACATCTAGGGAATTGGTGGTTTCGTTCATGAATTCTTTGAACCATGTTGCATCAAAGAATCCTCCAGGCGCTATGATTAGTGGCTTCGGTTCAGTACCCTTGTAAATATTGTGCACTATGTTTTGTAGAAAAATTGTGTCAGAGGCATATTGATTGGCTGCAACTCTGACCCCGACTCCGCTCCCACTCAATTCATTTCCTGGCAAGCAATGAGATATATCAAACAACTGGTGCCAAATATGTAGAGATTCGGGTTATTGCATATTACTCGAGTAGCAAATTATCCGTGCCTAAAGGCACTCCCAACACAATCTAACCCCAATCAAAATCAACCACCATCCCATGCCATTGCCTCCCTCCACCTCAATCTATTTATAACAATCTTATTCCCATATCATGAAAGAAACAAATATTTAAGAAATACAAAATCAAACAATCAATTTAGATGTGTCTAAACATTCAGACCCTTTTCATCAAAATTCAGCTACGCAAAATTCAGGTATTTGTAGTCAGTCAGTGGTTGAAATTTTCATGTACTTTTCATAAGAATATCTACGTTTATATGTAATGAATGTTGTTGATATAGACAAGCATGTAGCCATGAAGAGCATTCTTACCGAGCTCCCATCCATGGATTGTGTAACCCTTCTCGACGGTGTAACGGATAAAAGATTTGGCATTTGTGTAATCCCAAGTTCCTGCCGCAGAACCATCAGCCTGAATGGATCTTCCATTGAGAGCATTCAATCCAAAAATAACTCGAGCCCTAAATGCACAAAATCATTCATTATTCAACTTGTAGAATATGAAAGTCTGAGCTATAATATGGAATGTGATGAAAATGAGTGCTACCGGGATTTATTAAAGAAGGCGTTAAGTTCATCCCATCTGGACAAGGGCAGGCACCCCTTGGTGAAACCAAACAACTCTGAGGCGTTTGTAGAAAATGGGATGCAGGGTGGCGAATGATCTTGAGTTTCATAGATGACCTTATCTTGCAAAGTGCCACCCAATCTAATCTTCAGTGGTGAAAAAGCTGCACCATAATACAAAATCAAAATTCTCAAGCTACATAAAGGATTGGATACAAGATTCATCAAGAAAAATTTATAAAGCTATCAGAAGTATCTGAAGCAATTCAAACCTTTTACGGCATTTAAGAAAATATTGTTATTGAGATCCTGCGCAAAAGAAAGATCAAGAAGAGTTTCAGAAACCATTTAAATTATTTCATTCAGATTTCATAGTTGGTTCTTATTAGAAACTTGGAGCATTGCCTTGCAAACCAAAAAGAAAAAGAGAAAAAAGCAATTTCTTTTTCCTTCTAACAGAATGTTTGGAAAACCAAAGCTAAGTTCTTTTATGATCAGCTCATGTAAAACCCAACCTCTGTGGGTCTGTTTGATTAGAATGAAAAAGTCAAAATAATAGAAACTTAAGTAAGGGATAGAAAAGTGAAAGAAAATTTTATTTTCCAGTATGCATTTGGTTAAGATAAAAATTTTGAAAGAAATTATAACAATTATTGGTATTTTCATGAAAATATACATTTTTTTGTATTTTTTTTTGCAAGAAACTGAAAATCAAGTTACTATACTAACATGAGTTGTATAAGAATTTAATTTTTTAGCATTTTTCAAAATTCTCATGTTAAACACTTTTTTGGCGTGGGTAACTCATGTTAAACACAAATGCAAGAAAAATGTCATTCTTTTCAATTTCTCACACTTTTGATCACCTTTATCCTAATCAAACTCAGCCTTTATGTACCCTAATGCTGTGTTTGGTTGAGAGATTTGGAGAGGGATTTGGAAAGAGAAAGGGAAAAAGTATGTGAAATTAGGTGAAATGTAGGTATATTTTATTCACATTTCACCTAACTTTTTCCTTTCTCTTTCCAAATCCCTTCTCAAATCTCCCAACCAACACAGCGTAATGCAACACAAGTAACATGGAATTAGTCCAATGTTTTAATTGATTCCAATATAATGGACAATCAATTAAGTAGTAATTGTTAAGTAGGAATTACAAAATGAAACATTTTGTTACTTCAGTAACTTCATAAAATCCCAGTTCTCAATACTACACAAACCATCAAGAATCAAATTTAATAGGACAAAATTTACTTTAACCCCATATAATTTGATGTTGGAGCACTTTATCCTCTGTGGTTTCAATATAGGCAGCCCAACCCCTTGTAGTTTTGAACTGTTACTTTTTGTGTCTAAACAAACGTGACGTGTTACATGCGTCTATTGTGCATGTGCTTGCCCGTTTGCTGGATTTACCTCCAAAAATGGCTTGTCAAAATGACACAAATGTCCCTTTAACAATTATATAAGTTGATAGGCACCAAATGGCCCCAAAGCTCCAGCCAAATCAGTCAAATTGTGGGTATTGTTCTCTCTCTTCTTATATTATTATTATGGGTAAATTACACTGACACCCCAAAGATTTATATTTATTACAGTTCCTCCTCACCTTTTAGAAATTACATCTCCCTCCCTGAGGTTTAAAATTTCATTCCAGATTGCTACCTCAGTTAGTTGACTGTTAAGTCAACTAATAGATTTTGTTGATGTCAGCAATTTAATTTTTTTAAATATCAATTTTGCCCTCACTGGGTAAATTACATTGACACACCTCACACTTTAGAAATTACAATCCCCTTCCTATGGTTTAAAGTAGCATTACCAATTGTCCCCTCGGTTAGTATTAGTTGAAAAAAAAATTCATTGAAAAAAAAAATCATTGGAAAAAAAATTATTTGAAAAAAATTTTTGTTAGTCAAATTTTTTAATTTTTGTTTAAAAACCAACGTAAACTCATTTTTTGAATTTACATTTTTCCCTCAAATTTAAAAACTAAGATAACCATTTATAAACCCAAAAAAATTATCAAACAAGTTTCTATGACAGTTTTTTAATTTTTTGTAAATATAAATTGAAAACTGAAAATGAAATGGTTACCAAACAGGCCTCAGATGGTAAAAATATCGTAAAATTAACAAATAATTAAATAAGTTACCAACGTAAGAAATGACTTATCAAAAAATTCTTAGGCTATGTATGATTTGATTTTTAGAATTTTTTTAAAAAAATTAAAAATTAATTTGGTTAAGAAATAAAAAATAAAAAATAATAATTATTTTTATATAATTTTTATCTTTCGAGTGATTAGAAATAATTTTTTACAAATTAAATATATTTCTTCATATTTATTTTTATTAAATTAGTTTTTTTTTTTAAAATATCAGGGGGAATCTGTATTAAATTGAAACCTCAGGGGTGTCAATGTAATTTGCCCTTTAAAATATATGTAAAGGTTGAAGGTAAATATGTCATTTTAACTTAAAAGTTAACACCGTCAAATAATTACACTGACAAGGGGGGATCGGTGTAATTTTTCAAATGTGAGGGGAGAACTATAATAAACATAAATCTTAAGGGTGTCAGTGTAATTTGCCCTATTATTATTATTTTATTTTTATTTTTTATTTGTTTATTAAAGTTGTGTTTTTTTGTTTTTCTATATTTTGAAATTTGGATTTATTTTTATGTTCTTATAAATAGTTTATTTATGTATTTTATTTTTTCTTTTGTGCAATCGATTAGATCTCGCTGCTCAAAACAGTTCTTTGACAACTTAGAAGAACCCAGCACAACTCCGAAAGATCTCAAAAATTATCTTTAGAAAGAAAATAAAGACAGAAAGAATATGAGTGTGTTTGGTTTGTATTTGTAAAGTAGTTTTTGAGATAAAAAGTACGAAAATTTATTTAGTTTGTCTTTTTTTAGAAATGGTTTTGAAAAATTATTTTGGGAGAGAGTTTTAAAAAAAGTAATTGATTTAATGTGTATGAGAGAGAGAGAGAGTAATTTTGGAAAATAAGTAACCAAATAAAATTTTGAGATTTTTTTTGAAAAAATTGTTTGGCTTTATTACTCTTGAAGATTTATTTGTAGAAAATTTTTCTCAAAATTTTTTTTGAAAAATAAACCAATCTTTAATGAAAAATAAAATATACAGAATGTATAATAAGAGATTTGGTAGTTCATTAATTGTAAGATTCTTGTTATCTAAAATATGAGTAAGCAATGTATCCTAATTGATGTTGCAGTGCAAAGGCTGTAGTGGAAGCAAAAGGCTGTAGTGGAAGCGAAGTAGAGAGGCCACGTTTGGAACCTTCCATTTTAGTTAAAAAATTATTAAATTAGTTAAAAAATTAATAATTCATACTAAAAAATTAAAAATTCTCTTTTTTTTTTTACTTTTTGCACATCTTTTCATAAAAAATTAATAAGTCATCCTAAATATATTAATTTTTTTTAATTCATATTTTAATTAAATAATTAAAAAATTACTAAATTAATTTATTCCCAAACGAGACAAGGATGCACGTGGCCGGCTGTAGAGCCAGCTAAGGACTAGACTGTGGTTAACGGTAGAGCCAACTAAGGACTAGACTGTGATGAGGTTTTGATAATTAGATTACCAATTCCATATATATAAGACCATTTCCCACGTTGAACCAAACTCAGCATCAAATTTAAATTTTGATGAAAAATTTATTTTTTTAAGCTCCAACCGTTGCACCAGATTGATATCAAAATGAGATTTCAGCAAAAAAAGTATCAAACTGAGAACGAGACACAGATTTTACCAAATCACTGTTACTGACCGTTGAAAGAGGTACACCGGTCAACCAGTAAAAGATTCAAACAGTTCAGGAAAAAAAGTTCAAACCGTTAAAAAATATATATATATATATATTTTTGCCTAACCGGTCAACCGGCCGGTCGATCACCCCGGTCGTCCCAAAAAAGTTCAGAAAGTTCAAAAAAAAGTTCAGACAATTCGCCAAAAAAAAAAAAAAAAAATTTTTTTTGCCTAACCGGTCAACCGGCTGGTCGACCACCCGGTTGTCCCGGGATAGATTTGGTGAAAGGTGAACCGTTGGAGCGAGTGGTATCAAATTTAGTGAAATGGGTCATTTTTTACTCAAATTTAGTGAAAAATTTGAGTCACCGTTGGAGATGCTCTAAAGATTATATATTATTTACCCTTAATAAAATTGTAATAATATCTCTTCTTAAATCATGTAAATTTTTTTTTTATATTTTTCAAATTTTAAAAATGTTCTATTAAATTCTCTTTCTCATTTTTGTACACTCTTGGTTGGTGGACTTGTTGGCTATGGTGGATATTGATGGGGTGTGTGTGTTTTTTAATATTTTTGTTACTAAATATATTTATACGTATATAATACCTATATTATTCTATTTTTTTTAATATGATAAAATTAAAATCCCAAACATTACACTTTAGTATTCATTTTCATTCATTTATATTTATTTCTCATCTTACATATTTTATCTTTCATTAATTATAAATTACTATCTATAATATGTATATTATTTACAATTTTAATTTGTATTTACATTTTTTTCATTATAAAACTAACTCGCCCCTACCACCAATCCGATTTGCCCCACCCATTTGTAATACACCCAAACATTATTTACAAATTTCAAAAAAAAAAGAAAAAAGAAAAGTTCTCTGTTTTTAACATTTAATTGTTTTTGTTTCCGAAACGTGCAACAAACCGTCTTAATTTACATTTCCACCCACACAAACAATTTACACAGAAAATATGTTTTAAAAAAGAATTAAACTTACCAGATTGAGGAGAAGCAAACTGAACTGAACTGGCAAACACCATGCAGAAAACAGAAAAAGAAAACTGTTTTTGGGATAAAAATAAAAGAAAAATAGTTAAGAACGCTAATGCTGTGTTTGGTTGGGGGATTTGAGAAGGGATTTAGAAAGAGAAAAGGAAAAGATGTGTGAAACTATATGAAATATAGGCATGATTTATTTACATTTCACTTACTTTTTTCATTTTCTTTTTCAAATTCCTTCCAAAATCCCCCAACCAAACACAGTATAAAAGTGATGTTCTAATACCACCAATAATATAGCAGTGGGCCCATTCATTGTCTATGTTTTTTTTTTTTTTTTTGAACATTCTTAATACATTAGTATTATTAGTGGTCTTTTTTTATTGGTACGAAAATAAAAAGAATATGATAATTTTTGGGTGTTTTTCAACAACATTTCGTTAACCAAACAGACAGACATTTCCAGAAGAAACAGATAGAATGTAGATAGCAAATGTGTGTATATTACAAAGAAGGAAGGCATTAATTACCAGATTGAGCAGAGAAGCATGGTCCCAGCTACAAGTCCCGTAATCACACTTGTCAGGAGGCCACCAATCCAAAGTTGCGCAAATGAAATCACTGTCTGTTATTCCAATGCCTCTCTTCCCATCTACAAAAACAGTGCCTCCAACAGTTCCACCACTCTGTGAGTTCACAGAAATGAAGTTGAAAGTGAAGAAACAAAACCAGATACAAAAACCCATTGCCAAAACCAGAGAACCCATCTTCAAAATTCAGGAAAATTTTGAAGATCTCTGTCACTAATCTATCTCCTAAATGGGTTGTGAAAGGGAGGCCATTGGAGGGAAGAAGAAGTTGGGCGGCTACAGAATTTGCAATTGGAGGTGGAGAAGAACGAATATATATATATATATATAATTAGTATTTTTTTTCTTTTTTTAAGAAAGAGAACGAAAATAAATTCTATTTTGCATTGGAAAATTATACCAAAGATTTTTGAATAGTGAAAAGTTTGTTGAGAGGCAACTCGGTAGGAGTGGTGGTGGGGTGGGCCATTAATTTATGATGCTTTGCTTGAGGAAACAGAAAACAGGGGTTGCTCAACCCAAGGGGTAAGGAATGAGTACTCGTAGAGAGTGGGATAGTGGGCCCCTTTGATCTTGACAACAAAGATAGTAGGTAGTGGAAAATTATTAGATCAACAATGATTCATCCCGCTAAAAGCATTACCATTAATAGCACTAATACATTAAAGAGAGGCAACTCGGTAGGAGTGGTGGTGGGGTGGGCCATTAATTTATGATGCTTTGCTTGAGGAAACAGAAAACAGGGGTTGCTCAACCCAAGGGGTAAGGAATGAGTACTCTTAGAGAGTGGGATAGTGGGCCCCTTTGATCTTGACAACAAGGATAGTAGGTAGTGGAAAATTATTAGATGGGTTGAAGTTTCTTTATCAATTATTATTGAAAAATGCTTCGAGATTCTGAGGGGTTGTTTGTGAGGATTTAAATAAGTTTATTTTTTAATTTTTTATGAAATATGAGTTGGGTATGGGTTGGATTTGAAATGATGTGATAGAGAGGTAATGTGACTTAAATATGATGATGTGACTTAAATAGGATAGTGACTTTTTAACTTTTTGAATTTTTTAGTTTATGCCAAACAAGGCCTAAATAATTTATTAAAATTTTTATTAAATATTTTATATGAGTGTGAGATTTATATTATACGGATTTTATGCGGAGTCTCATATTTATATAAGATATTTGATAAAAATTTTAATAAATCTTTTAAAATCTCTAACATTACTTATTATTATTTATCATACTCTTTAATTTTTTAATCACTTAATATAAAATTATAATATTTTGTTTTCTTCACTAATCATAATATCATAAAATATCACGTGACTCATTGTGTGGGTGATTTTCAGACCACACTGCCCACCTAGTAATCAGCTGGAGAGCACCGGCAGAATAGATGGCTTCAGTGAACCTACAACAGAAAGAAAAGGCTCCGGCGGTGGCTCTTCCACCCGGGGACACTCCGACGATCAAGTCAGTATATCTCTCAAAGATAATCAAGTGCTAAACTTCACAAGCTTGAGTATAAAACTGTATACCTTAAACCCACGGGGGTGCCTCTCTTTTATAGTTTACTTAATCCAAGTCCTACTAGAAGTCTGACTTCTATGGACTCCAATTCAATGTTAACTTTGGACTCTTCAAGGGATAAAGATAAACTTCCTAAGAGTTTTATCTTTATCTTAGCAAAGTCTTCTCTTTACTCTAGGACTCTTGTCCCTTACCCACTTATCTCGGATTCCGATATCTTCGGAGACCACCTCGGCATAATGACCAGGACACGTGGCACCTCGGCTGACACGTCGGCATCACCATGCCACGTGTTGGTATTAAGAAAATACATCTTCACAACTGCCCCCTAGGTTCTATTACCTCGGTATTCTGAGGTGATGGAACCTATATCTGTATTTTCTTCCAGTACCTCGGCGTGAGAACTCTTCGGCCGAGATCGTTCATTTTAGGCCGACATGCCTTCATCAAAGAACAAGAACTCAAACGAACTCCTCCACGCGCATGAGTTGTCATGCACCTTTTCTCAACCGTTCCCCTCACGTGCTTTATCCTCATTGGCTCGTGTCTGTGACGCGCCTGAAAACTGTATTTCACCCATCTGCGCCGTCTGACGTATGCGTTGCTCCAGGTGTAATAAATGCCCTGCTTTTTGCCGCCGTTTCAAGTTTTTTACAAAACTTTTCTCTCCATCTTCATTTCTTTACTTTTGCATTCGATTTTCTGGCTCTCTCTCTCTCTTAAACCTTCTCAAATCCGCCATTGCTCTAGGTCTAAGCTCTGCAACCGCCTTCGTTCTTCCTTTGAAGCTTTCACCGTTCCGTTGTGTCTGCAACCGTTGCCTTACCTCGGCGACCTTTTATTCCAGCTTCATTTGTTCTGGTAAGCCTCTGCTCCTCTTATTCCAAATTTCTTCTATGTGCTTTTGTTTACTTGCTGCCATTATTGCTTTGTTTCAAACCTTTGATTTTGCTGAACTATTTGTCTGGACGCACTTATTCCATGATTTCACTCATGTCTTGAACACTTGTACTGTTTCAATACTTTTTTGTCTTTGTTCTTGAGCCTGTATTTCTTTCGCTTTTGAGAACCATACCTCTGTTCTTGATTCTAAAACGTCATTCTTTGTTTCTTGTTTCCTGTGTTGTTTTCCAGATCTCTGCCTTTAATTCTTGTCTTCATAGATTTAGGTTTGGGTTTTGTCTATAGAACCTTCAATCTTTAGGGAAAACTGAAACAATCCTTACCAGTATATATCTAGGGTTTCGCCGAGGTCCCGTTAACCCCTTAAGAACACCTTCTTTTTGAAACCTAGCACTCTGTCTTTAGGCTGACGTTATGGGTATGTGGAGACATAGGGTAGATACCCCGACCAAACTTGAGTACTTTAGGCGGGAGTTCTCTATTCCTGCCGATGTCTATCTGAGGCTAGCTGAAGATAATGACTCTATCATGCCCGCAGATGATTTAATGCCCTTTCCTATAGTAGCTTTTACTGAATGCGGACTCCGACTTCCACTTAATCACCTTTTTCGCGAGGTTCTCCACTACTATAAGTTGAACCCCATGCAACTTACCATCAACTCCTATCGAGTGATTAATGGTATCATAGCCCTAGCTAGGCAGGAGAATGTTAGGATCACCCTTGCCGATGTACAATATTGTTATACCATGTGCCCCCTTAACCTGAAGGAAAAAGGTTACGTCCACTACCTCAAGCCGAGGTCTACTGAATTCAAAATTGTAACC